ATATATTTAATACAGTATGATAATAATTATTTCTAAGATTTTTTAAAGTATTTAATTAAATTTCAAATGTATGTATATATATTTTTTCAGCTATTAAGAATGTATTTTAAATATATTAAAGTCAAGAACTTGATAAATTTTTTGTGTTGAAAAATCTTTTATTTATTTTTTTGTAAATACATAGTTTCTTCTCTATTGGTTATAAAGAAATTAGTATGATCTTTTCATAGTAGCTGTGAATTTGAATGCATTGATTCTTTAGATTTTGTTCCAATTTCTCAATTTTGTAATTTCTCAATTTTGTATTAACATAAACATCTTGGTTGAAAGTTTTAAAAACATTTGGAACATAGTAGTAGAGGGCCTACTTATTGACTTATTCTAATAGAAATTTAAAAAATTTCTATATAAAGTTTTTAAAACAAATTAGTTTCTTAATCTCATTTGTAAGTAGAAAAGAATTGTGTGAGAGGGTGAAAATATCTAAAATCCTACTTTAAAATGCAATTTTTCATAAGCCTTACAAAAGTCTTTTGTTTGTTTAAAAACAGTGTTTTAAAATCATTGGCCTTAAATTGTATTTTAAGATTAAAGAATTCATTTAATAGACTTTGTCAATATTATTTTTGATTGTAATTGAAAATAAGACATTTCACATCTTGATTCTTTTTTCTTTATATAAATCCTTTACTTTAACCCAAATCTTCTATATGTATATATATATATATATATATTAACAGAGAAGAGCCAAAAACATGTTGTTATAAATTTAATTACAAATATTCAATATAATTAAGCTATAGAAGACTCTAATAATTCTATACATAGTAAATTAGAATATGTGGACCTCGTAGTTTCATAGATTGATTTTTAATACAATTATTAACAAAAAGATGCTTAGATTGAAAAGAAAACTCTTGCTTCACATGATTCTTGTAATATCTAATGTGAAATTGGATTATATATTGAAGAAATATAGATAATAATTTTTTTATAAAATTATTTCTATATAGTTAAGAATAATCATAGTGTTGACTTCAAACTAAGGATTGTTTTAATAATAAAAAAATGATTTTTAATAATTTTTTTTTTTTTAATTGTAAGAATGTTTTGTAAAGTAGCAAGAATGCAACTATAAAAAAAATATTCAATTTTTTTATGAAGCCAAAATAAGGATTTAACAAAGCATTGAAATCTTTTTATAACATATGTTAAATACTAGAAGCTATTGATGTATTGTATATTTAAATTATTTTTGAAATAATTGGCATCTAAAATTATCACTGTGACCAGATATCAGATTCAAAAAAATATATATATTAAAGTACATGTAGATAAGATATTTTAGAATTACAAACTTGGGCCAGGAAGTAGTCTGTACATTTAGATTATATTTTATAAACAAGAGCACTAAGAGCTTATGCAGCAAAATAAATAACAATAATAATATTATTATATTTATAAAAATTAGTTAGGTACTTTTTTTTATGTAATTAAATCTTGGATCTACAGTCATTCAAAGACTCAAGTAAGAATTTGCAGCCGCACAAGGTTAAATAGAAAATTTATTCAATTTTCTACCCATATACGCATAAAAAGAACATTTAAAGTAATAGAATGCATATAAATTTATATTATCAAATCATGTTGATGTTCTTCTGACAAATATGCCAGTTTTATTAAGCACATGTATTGGGTTGCAGTTTATGTAATAGAAATATAAAAAGTTTTGATGAGAATTTGAAAAAGAAATTAAAAATAACCTGAAAAGTAATTAGATAGTGATAAATTAAATCAAATTGAACGATTACAAAGAGAATTAAAATCAACTAACTAAATACAACAGAAAAGTATAAATGTGTACTTAATTATATGTTAGAAGAAGAAAAAGAAAATTTATGGTTAAAATAAATAAAACTTTATATAATAAAACTTATAAAAACTTATTGTAAAATTCTACAAAGAGTTTAAGAAATACAACTAAATTTAATATGGAAGTAAAAACTTACAATATAGTCTGAAATTGTGTTTTCAAATTCTAGTGATTTTGATAATATAAAAAAGTCGCCGTTTTTCTTAATATATTTATCATAAAATATTATGTATGTATATATATGTATATATTTGTTTTTAATGAAATAAATTTTATTTACTTATCTAAATATGTAATATCTTCTTACATTTGAATATTTTGTGCCAAAATTTCATATTTAATAATTATTTAATAGAATTTAAATACTTTTTAAAAAGATTTATAATACAAGTGAAATACTTAAAATCTTTGTAAATGTTTTACTATTTATGCATAATTTATGATATATTAAATCTATTTACTATTTTTATTATTCAAGGTTGTAATCTTAACCATTTATTTACACCAACCACTAACTGGTGATAAAATTGTGTAATACAAATCTAAAGTAAAATTGTTTAAATACTATTTTTAAAACTTTAAAATATCATATTAAAAAAATGACAATAATTGCATAGATAATAAGTTTTTGTCAAACACAAAATAATGAAGATAGTATATCTATATAAATACATATTTGATAGATGAAAGTAGATAGGATTTAGAAAAAAGAGTTGTGGTTTTTAGATTAAATTTGAGGAAAAAAAATGAAAAAGAATATAGAAATATTTAAAGCTCATTTGTTTCTTGCTTCTCTCAATTAAAAAGATAAAGTAGCAATAATAAAATCAATAATTCAAAGTTTGAAACTTTTATATTTGAAGAGTGCATACATTTTTTTTTTTTTTTTTTATAATTATTTTTTCTTATTATTTTTTATTTATTTTACTACTAGTTGAAATTAAATATTTTATATATTTTTAAAATTTTTAGTTGCTATATATTTTATTACTAAAATTAAAAATTATTATTAAAAGAATGGAAGATCTTATATTTCATAGATTACAGATTTATACTTAGTGCACATATAAAGAAGAAAAGGATATAGGATGGAATTCATTCATTTGAATGAAGTTGTTTTTATTAAATTTCAAAACTAAAAGAAATATCCATCTTTTAAACATCTCTTTATGCTTAATTATCTTGGAAAAGTAAGAAAAAATTAAATTTATATTAATTTTATAATAAAAATCACAATAATATTAACAACCATAACAATATCTAAAGAAAAGAAAATTAATAAATACAACTTTTCTTCTCACAGGCCACACATATTGTTTTAAAGCAACTGTAAATAGTATATAAGAATCAAGTCATATATAGAAATGAAAAAAATAATGGGAAGAGAGGCCTGGTCTCCTCCTCCCTCCTCCTGAATTTTTCCCTTATTTTTCTAGATTTTGACATATCTTCACAAATAATAAACCATCACTTGAAGAAAAGAAAAAGGAAAAGAAAACACACAAACACACACAAAATTTGGAAAACAACATCAATCATTACAAGTAGAAAAAGAACGTGAGTTCTTTGTCATACTTGTGAACTGTTGGCATAATTTTTCCAAGTAAAAAACTGACCAAAAGAGGCATGTCAAATTCATTCATTCATTCAATCAATCAATCAAATACCTCAGAAAAGTCGGTTATATCCATCCAGCCATATTTCTAAAGAATGAGAACCCCTCTGAACTGAATGTGGGTATTATAATAATAAGAAGATTGAGATAGGTAGATAGATAGAGCGATAGATTGATTCAGGAGGAGGGAGGAGGAGACCAGCCTCTCTTTCCTTATTTGTGGAGAGGACTGAGCCAACAGCATTGGGTTCCGAGGAAGGAAGGCAAGAGGTTGGACACAGGAATGCGAGGAAAAGAGAGAGTACAGAATTCTGCACAGTAGTCCAGTTGCAGTTGTAGTTTTAGTAGTCATGGTAGTAGTAGTACTGAGACAATGAATGAGGAGACCCACATCCCCAGGCTCTGGAGCCTACCTACACTTTCACAAAGAGATGGTGGTGGTGCACAGCTAGTCCCTGTTGTTGTTGTTGTTGTTTTCTGTTCTGTGACAGGATTGCATGGAGAATTGTGTCGCAGCAGGAGCAGGTGCAGGACAGCAATCACATCATGGTGGTGGTGCTGCTGCTGTTACTGCAGTGCAAGCCTGGCGCTGCCTTGTGCAGGGTCCAACGTTTGGCCTGGCTCGTGAACCCAGCAGAGAGCGTTGCTTCTGCCTCATTTCCCTCGACTAGGATCCTCGCAGGATTGGACGGAGTCATTATTCCTTCGTTTGCCTGCCAAGCTCTGTCCTGTCGTGTGTGTGCGCAGGAACTCTTACGGTTATCGGCTTCTGAGTAAAACATGATCCATGGTGGGAAGTCTCCACCCATGTGGAATTGGTGATGTGAAAGAGAGAGAGAGAGCGAAGAAACAAGTGTAGAATAATACAGGAAATGAAGAAAGGGTGTGGAGGTTGACATGACAGAGTGAGCTGTGGATGGCCGAATATTTTGTTACTCTGACTGGGTGATTGATGTGCATCGCATGGTAAGTTTTGCCAGTTGGCGTAGCATTGAAAATTTACTGGAGCGAGCTGAAAGGCTGGTGGCCATGTGTGGGCGTTGGAGGATTTTGCATGTACCCGGCTATCTTGGCAATTGTGGCTGCAGTTAATGAAACAGCCTTGTTGTATTAAGGTTGAGTCAGTCATCAGACACAGCGGTGCTACGAGCAATATTGAACTGTGCAAGAAAACGGGAACTGGATCTTCATTTCTCCCCCCTGTCAGTAAGCATTCTCGCCATGCTGCACGATACTACCAGGAATTTTTTACTGTCGTTTTTCTCAAAAAAGTCATGCCAGTTATAATCCCAGGCAAATTGATGAACAACAATTGGTAATTAAATTAAGTGCGCTTCAGTGACTTTATTCGCGCAATTCCAAGTCAGAAGTAAAGCTGTCCAGCTTTCTCCGAGCCTACTTTTTACATAAATATTACTCGTGACTAATCAAGTTACTTGGAAGTTGAAGTATAGTGTCAGACCTTCACTCATATGGATATATCGACCCTGTGACATGAATGCAGTCGAGCGAATTGGCCAAGACGGTCAGAGCGGAAGAAACGCGATGATGTCATTATTCTGGGTTTGTATTATTGGAACTGCGCAACACAATCTCACCGGCATTCATACTCTTCCTTATAAAGACCTCACTGCAACGGAGGTCACTGATTAGCAGTCTCTGTCCGAGGAGACGGCCCAGGACAGTAGTTCCACTAGCTCTAGCAGTCTTCTTCAGGGACGAGACAGCGTAGTGTGCAGAGGGCATGAGCTCAAGTTGTGAATCCAACTTGCTTCCTGTATTGCGCTGCTGTTTCGATTCACCATGGCTGGCCTTGGGTACACTGTATGCCTCTTGGTGACTGTGGCATTAGTATGCTCCGCAGAGCCTGCGCAAGGTTCCCAGAAGGTCCCCGAAACCAGGGAGGAAGTGATCGCCAGCTTCGCAAGCTGGGTTCAGAGAGTAGGAGAGAAGCATGCCGCCTGGGAGCGAGCTGCCAAGACCGCTACCACCGCTGACGAGTTTGCTAGCAAGGTCGGCGAAACCGTGATTGTGGTTGATCAGAGTGGAGCTGGAAACTTCAAGACTGTCAACGAAGCTTTGAATTCTATCCCGGAGCACAGCAAGTCACCGGTCACTATTAAAGTGAACGCCGGAACTTATAAGTGAGTGGCTCTCGCAGCAACTGAAATCTCTCAAACAATAATAGCGTTAGATTGCAGATATTCTCTAAATGTGTTTATGCTTCATCTGGAGGTGCTGAAAGCTCATCAATGGTTGCAGTGAGAGGGTGGTTATTCCCAAGTCTAAGGAGTTCATCACATTGCAAGGCGCAGGTCGTGATGTTACCAAAATCACAGCAAGCAATGCAGCTGGTAACTCTGGTACAACGTACACATCGGCGACGTTTGGCGTCAGCGCACCTCACTTCACCGCCAGAAACATCAGTTTTGAGGTTAGTTGTGGATCCCTCCTCGTGCCTTTGTAATGACCTCACTGGCGATCGAACCTGTCGAACATTGCCGTCGGTGAGAATCACTCTGATAATTTCAATGTTAATTGGCTTGACAGAACTCGTCTCCTCCTCCCGACGGCGGAGCTCAGCAACAAGCCGTGGCGCTACGGACCACCGGTGACATGAACGCCTTTTACGGATGTGCCTTCTATGGTCACCAAGACACACTGTACGACCATAGAGGCCGCCACTTCTTCAAGGATACTCTCATCGTCGGCACTGTGGACTTCATTTTTGGCGACGGAAAGTCTCTGTACAAGAACTGCGAGCTGCGCGTGTTGCCGTCCTCAGGTGGCTCGTTAACAGCCCAGAAAAGACTGAGTGGGAGTGAGGACACTGGCTACTCGTTTGTGAATTGCAAAGTTACCGGCTCCGGGCCGCCTCAAGTGTACCTCGGCCGTGCCTGGGGTCCCTATTCTCGTGTGATCTTTGCTTTCACTGAATTCGCCAACATCATCAAACCCGAAGGATGGTATAACTGGGGAGACCCCTCCAGGGAAAAGTAAGCATCTGCCAATCTGGCGTATCTAGGTTACAGCACTGTTGAATGAGCTGAGCTATTTCTCGATTTGTATCGAGGTACTGATATTCTCTGATTTGGATGCAGGACTGTGTTCTACGGGATGTACAAGTGCTTCGGCCCCGGTGCTAGCTCCCCGTCGAGAGCTTACTACTCAAAAGAGCTTACGGATGCCGAGGCTGCACCATTCCTGAGCCTCAACTACATTGATGGGGGGCTTTGGGTGAAGGAAGGAATCTAAGCTGAAGAGCGTGATGCCCCGGTGGATTTGCAATTGATCGATTCTGTGCGCAGATGGGCCACATTGGTCTTGAACCTCTTGAACCGAGGATTTCTGTTTTGTCGACTGAAGATTGTGAAAAGCAAACCATTCGCGAAGATTTGGAAAACTGCTGTAGCGGTTGTGAGTTTTCTGCTGACTTGATGGTTCCGGGAGGCGGGTGCATCGCTCGCAGAAAAGATTACTCCATATACAATGGTGTTCGAGTCTTTAATAAGAGATTCGGTGGAGAGCTTTTGTTTTAGAGCCAATGCGGCATTCAAATGAGAATACTGTGGGTCCGCAAATCTTTTGAAGATCATGACTTAGTTTAGCTGAAATGAAGATGTAGAGCAACTGTTTTACCTCTCATGACGGGTGACGTTTTCATTTAGTGAATCGATTATATTTTTCCAACCTGGTGCACATCCACATGTAAACTGCTGCCTCTGTCATGATATATTCTCAAGCGATCCTAAGAGGCTGGTTAGAAGTCACCATCTCCCCCTTTTTAGTGAACTTGTGTCAGCATACAACTAAATACACATTGTTTCTGTCACTCCATGATGTTGAATCCTGCAATGGCTGCCACATGTTGCAGAAAAAGTATCCCGTATAAATCGCAGTCCTGGCATACGGCCCTTTGTGTGTTGTTAATACTTCTCTACACTCATCGAATAGCTTGGGCAACATCTGACACTAACTTTCTTTCAACACAAGTGTTGTGCCGAGTTTCCCACTTGTGCTACGGCCAAAAACCCGTCACGACTTGGTCCAACACTCAATCATATCGTTTGACTAGTTTCACAGAACCAAATTATATGCAGCATTAAAACAAAAACTAGTCGATAAAACCTGCAACTGATAAGAATACCTGCACACTGACATTAGGTGAAGGACAATGAGTGACAGATAAAACTATAAGCACTAGGCGGTAGGCAACACTGGTCCACCCTCGTCAGAAGTCGGGACCTCTTTCCTTGCAAAGTCAGCATACAGAAACGGAATCCATTAGCGGTTCTAACTCGCGATCATCCCAACCGATAAGGTTGAGAGATTCTGACCCTTTTTCCCAAGCGATTACTTCCGCAGTTTGGTGTGGTTGACCTCAATTCATTATGATTTGGGCCGTCAGAAGGTGATCACTCAAAAGAGCAACCATGTGGACCGAGAGTTAACTGGCTTACATAGTCGTAGACTGAACACGCTATTCTCATCTGGTCATGTTGTGGTTGAGGTGTAGGTGGTTGGTTCTTAGTTGGGCGTCGAAAATTAGAGTTCAAGAACTTATTTCGCTAGTGACTTCGGAGGTGGGGTTAGTGAGGGAGAGGCTGTTAACCGAAGAAACGAGTTACGACAACATCAGCTGATAGATAGTTCAGGTCATTTGCCACCTGGTTACAAGCTCGTTGCGAACCTAACTACCAACGTCCTTGTGACTTAGTCGCATCGTGTTCGGTTCATAAGGGCAACATGAACCTCGAGGAATCTCTCAGAACTAGGGTAACATTGGAGATCTTAAAGTAGAGGCTAGACCAACAACGACTATGAAATGTTCTGTGCTCAAACTTTACAGGGGGAACACCATCCAAGCGTTAAGCGCTGATTCTAGAGGAGATGCTGATTTAAGTCGGATGCCGAAGAGTTGTATGACTACAATGTATGGGTCGCAAACCAAGAATTGAGTTCAATTCTGTAACAAGAGCGCAGACGAAAAGATCGATGGTGCACTTACGATGGAGAAAATTGGTGTGAATGGCATGGGGAAACTGTAACTAGAATTAGCAGCGGATCATGCAGAATGATGCATAAGATGCTCACTAGTAAACAGAAGTCAGCTAAGGACATCAATTGTGACGTAAGGGTGGTGGAGGGTACTACGACGAAAACAAAACAAAACAAAACAAAAGTGACACACATTGAGCATTCATCTTGTGATAGAGCATGATCTGCGTTCGGGAGAGTCGATTGCTCGCTAGGGTTGTCCAATTTGTAAAGCACATGAAACTGGGGTTGCATCTGTCAAATTGAAGACGCGGAGGATTCCTGTGCAATGCTGCAATTATCAGGTTTCAGCTCTGCAATCGAGCTTTCAATTTGGAAACCCGACGAGATCACCTTTGACGCCTGAAAATTCGACTAGAAAAAGGAACAGAACAACCTCCAAAGATTAACGAGAATCCATTATGGCTATGGTTGACCCTGAAGACCACATCAAGGAAGACTGCATCGTCAGACTTCCCAACTTGATCTGATGGTTGCAATGATTTGAAACATCATCTTCGAACTGCAACCTACAGCCTGCGAAATCAATGCAGTCCTCACAGCATGTAAGAAGACCTTGAAGCGATGGGAATGGGACCGCTCCGCCTGATATGTCTCTGGGTCGTCCTTCTGTTCGCAACAGTCATCCTCCTTGTGGTTATTTCGCATTCACCTTCGGGAGCCCTCCCGAGGATTCCAAGATCCGTGCGCAGTGATCTGAAGAAATTAGCCAGCAAAACTATACCCAACAACATACCTCAGATTTTCAGCAATGAGACCTACTCGCGGCCGTGCCAAGGATCTCCCACGTCGTCCAAGAACACCTCATATTTCTTCCGCGTTGATCAAAGCGGGAGAGGGGATTTCGTAAGCGTCCAAGCAGCTGTAAATGCCGTGCCTGAAAACAGCGAACAGCGAACCATCATCGAAATCAAAGCCGGAGTTTATGAGTGAGTCCGTCAATTCTACCACCACAAAATTCAAATCTCAAAATTAGGGTACTGGGAGGTTGGAAACAGTTGCATTATCACAAAATATTTTAATTTCTTTAACAGCGGGGTAAATTTCCTGCGAAATTCGCGTCATCCGCTTTCCCTGACGAGATTCCTAAGAACCGACATCGCCATTCTGTTTGTAATCCCGCCTGTTCAGAACATGTCAAGACTTCGGTAGCCGTCTTGTTTTCTGGAAACTGGTCTAATGTTGACAGAGTCATCGTGGTGGAGTGGTTTGCAGAGAGAGAGTCGTCATACCGAGTAACAAACCACACATTACAATGCAAGGAGAGGGCATGAATGTAACAATCATCACCGGCAATGACAATGCTGCTAAAAGAGGAAACGAGGGCAGTGTTACTGTTGCGATCTACGCAGACCACTTTACTGCCGTGGACATGGGATTCAAGGTACGAGCATGTTTCAACCGCTACTGGAAGCAATGATCCGATTAACTCTAGATTGTTGGTGGTTGATGGCTGTGGGAGATCATGGCTGTGATTGATCGAACATCTTTCAAATTTCTCTGCGCATTCAATGTGCAGAACTTAGCACCGATGCCGGAGCCAGGGGAATTAGGCAAACAAGCAGTGGCGCTGGTAATCTGTGGCGACAAGGCGGCATTTTACGATTGTGGGTTTTATGGTGCACAGGACACACTGTTCGATTACGCAGGCCGTCACTATTTCAAAAATTGTTTCATCGAAGGCTCGATCGACTTCATCTTCGGCGATGGCCGGTCTCTTTACGAGGTAGGTACCCACCGTGTCAATGATGTTGGATAAAACCTGCACAGAAACAAAACTTAAGTTGAATGATGCACTGTGAATCGTGGACCATTGCGGGATCTAGGGATGCGAGATTCACGTCATAGCAGAGACCACTGGATCAATCACTGCACAAGCAAGGAGCAAACCCGAGGATCGCTCAGGGTTTGTGTTCATGGATTGCACCATCATGGGCCATGGACTCGTGTGGCTTGGCCGCGCGTGGGGGACGTCCTCTCGAGTCGTGTTCGTGAGATCCTACATGGACGACATCATCATCCCTGCCGGATGGACCGACTTCGGCGATTCCACAGTACACAAGTAAGCAGCAACAATCGTAACAACAAACACCCTTACATCACAAAAAACTAAAAAATAAAAAATGCAGCTCAAATCCCAAACCAACACTTCACACATCATTCTCATCTCTACCATTGCTTTTTCTCGGTGCAGCACGTCGTTCTACGCACAATACAAGTGCTCCGGCCCAGGTGCAGAATCAGCCGTGCGTGTTCCATGGTCGTATGAGCTCAACGACGACGACGCCAAGCAGTTCCTGGACCTGGACTTCATCGACGGTGCCTCATGGATTCACGCAACCCGCAAGTTTGTTGACAACCTCCCCAGTTAACAACCCACGTGGGAACACACTCACTTGCAAAGCTTCACTTACCAGTGCAGCACTAGTTTTCTGCGAATAGCATGCAAATGGATTGATCAAACACACAAACACACACTTTCGTAACAAAATCTGCTATACAAGCAACGCACATGCACACAAATGAGAAACTGGGTTCTCATTTCCCTCAGTTTTTCTCTCTTTCCCCAGCAGGCTTCACTGAAGCCACAGCGTGTTGATGTATCTGTTTACTGCGACTCCAACTTGAGAGACGCTTCCAGACAAAGATTGTTTCGGCTTCTTCATGACCCAGTTCTATTCTATTTCTGATTCAACACACTTGCTCAATTGGCTGATTACTTCATATGGATTTCTTCCATGTGGAGTTTAGTTTTGCAGGACTCTGATTGCTGAAAGGGGCGTGTCTTGTATGGATAGTTGAAAAGACTGAGTTGGTTGAGATATCGTGTTTTTATTAGACTTTTGATGGTTACTGAAACCATTGTCATGTAACAAATTTTTGTTGGTTGTGTGTGTCATGATATTTAAAATTAAAGTCAATCTCATCTGTTTTACTTGTAAAAGATTCTCCAAATTTTCTCAGTTTTTGCAAAGTCACCACTGGACTAATTTTGGCATCAACGTTTCATCCAAGTCCACTTATTCATCCATACCCACCACACTATCATCCATATATGAATTATTTCATCCATCCATCCATCCGGCGCCTCCCGGTGTCGGCGCCGCGGCACAACAGTGACACAGAAGGGCTCCCTCGCCGCCTCACGAGGAATCCGAACGAGGTAGTCACTCGACACGGAGCAGGGCCGATCACAACGCTGTGAAGAAGAATTACGTTTTTTTATTCAGTTCATAAGGCCGGACACCCTCAAGCTCAACTTCCTTGCAATTCTGAGCTCTTTCCGTCTGCTGCAGGTCATCCCGTCTCTAGTTGCAGGTTGCTGCACAAATGTAAAGTTTTCTCGGTGAAGAGACCATAAATTGATCGCTACACTGGTGAGTTCTCAGTTGAACACCTATTTCAATTCATGGAGTCTCCTAAACTTGGGACCACGGACTTGCTGTAAAGCTGGGTTCATGCGATTCTTGTCGGTAGAGTATATCTTGTGTGAAGTCCTGAACAACTTCACGGGACTCTCAGTGTTCGGAGAAGACTACGATTTAAGTTCTCCTTCAATTGATGTATCTTGGAATTTCTATAGCTGAACGGATTGACATAGTAATTGATGTTTATCAGTATGTCTACCCACATCATGGATTACTCTCATGTTGTACAAGCCCTGGTTCTTCACTAGAAAATCGTTTGTCAGGGAAAACTGGTGGACGTGTGGTAGATGTTTGTGGGTTCCTAGTTATATGACCATGAAAATAGTCATCTTGTTGTGGGGAGCTGGAATGGCAGCCACCACTGTTGTCAACTTCTTGGCAGCTAGCATTCATGGCACTGCGAGCAACGCAACATTAACAAAGTCGCTGCATGAAGCATTGGTTTCGAGGTGAATACCGCATTAAGACATTTCCTACTTTATAAAACACATCTCTGCACAAAATCTATTGACCTTGAGTTTTACATTGATGCTGACCTCAATTGAGAGCACTGTCAATTTGTGGATTGTGCTGAATTCAACTTCACCAGCGACGCCAAGGAAGTCTTCGAGCCATTAATGGACAAGCAGGGGCGGTCCTGCTTACAGCTGACACGGCTGCTTTGTTCTGACCTGACATTTGTGGTTGCCAGGACAGCTTCTTTTTTCCATTTCTTTTTTGTCTTTTTATTTTTTTAAAAAAACCGAAAAAACAAAAACAAGTTCGCCGGATGGCACAACTTCAAGGACTCGTACATCTCTAGAACCATCGACTTTATATTCAATAACTCCAAGTCAATCTCCACGGCATCGATTCCTTTAAATTTTAGTCCTCTTCAAATCAGGCTACATTGCACAACCACTTACACTGTTAATGTCAGATTCTTAAATCAGCCGTTGTGCTCGTTGCTATAATCTAAGTTCTACTTGTTTTGCTAATAAAACTTTTTACATTCACTTTGTGTCGAAAAACGTTGAGATTCATATATAAATCTCAAGATTACTCATTGCTCAGAGAGTATCTTACAAGCAGTACAGGGTAGTTGGGTTTTACGGAATGCAAAATTACAGTATATGGCCATACTATCCTTGGGAGAGCATGGGGTCTCAAATATCTCACACAATTTCCATCAATAGCTACTCCGAGAAAATATTCGTACGCGAGAACTGGCATGATTTGGCCAGTTCCTAGAGGTCTAAGCGAGTACCAACTCATTCCCAGCGTTAACTTTGTGCGTTACACGCTGGATGTGCTCTGTAGATAAAAGATTCTCAATCGGTACTATAATATGCTTTATGTGCGTCGTGCAGAACAATCTACTATAAACAGTACCAGTGTTCAGGGCCAGAATCAGATCACTCCAAGTGTGTGCCATTGTTCAACAAGCTCAGAGTTAAAGAAGCTACTCACGACATGGAATTTAGTTAGATTGATGGACAGGAATGGCTCTCGCAGAGTTAAAGCAAGTAGTGGATCAACACTGCATTGCATCGACAGTTTGCCACAGAAGCATACCAATCCTCAAAGACGGGATACTAAATTGAACGTTAGCAAATGCAGAATTGAGGAGACCTTGTGGTTGGACGCTGATGATCAACTTAAGCAAATTTAGAGTAGAGTAGATGAGGTAAATAAATTGAATTTTGTGCCTGAACTGCATATAATGTCTTTGAGGCTTGGCCCAGTAATGTGTGGAGAAAGTGATCGTGTTTCTCGTTCAGCAGATTAGAGCTAGGAGACTTGTCTCATAGTCCAACCCAATTGTGGCGATAATCTGCCGCCAGAGCTGCAAAATCCTGTTGATTACCAATTAATGTAGCAGGAAGAAGCAACTTCATGAAATAAAGGTTACTCGAACCTCTGCAATTTCTCCTGTTTAAAATCACAGTCCCAACGAAAAGTAAGAAAGCAGCACAAATTCCCCTCTAATTAAAAAGCTCATTAGCATTGACTAATCGACCCGAAGTGGAGAATGCCAGAGGCGAAAGGCTCAAACTAGAATGGATGTGTATATATATATATATATATATATATATGTACATATATATATGCATCACAAAGCAAACGTCATGGTTGGGAAGTAATCAGCCACAGAACCGTGTCAATGGAGATGGATCTCCATTGATGGCGAATAAATGTGTGGAATTGGAACAGTTTCCTCGCAAAAGCTCGCGGGCTGTAAGTACCACCGGTGAGCAAGATTGGTGGCAGCCTCAATACTAACAAGTACTACGCTGTGTTGAGGAGCTCTTATGTAAACAGGCACTGGTTCATGTCCTCGCAGCTACCTGCTCCATAATGCAATTCCATGGTACTTGGCACTGGAGCAAGAAAACATTCCGATGACATCAATGGCTCATCATAAACTGCTCCTGGTGACTTTCTTGGACCTGTTTTAAGTACGCACTTCTTTCCAAAAAACATGAGCTTTCGAAGGGAAAAGGGGGCCCACATGACGTTGATACCAGACTCTACAGAAACAATCAATTACAGGGCTACAATAGTGGGTTGTGGTTTGCCCAGTACTGCCTGCCTGCCGGTGACTTCGCATGTAGCTTTCAAATAATGCACAGGACTGAACGCCATCGCTGGATTGTTCCTGCCATGAGATCACAACCAGTGTGAAGATCACCGTTTGTTCCCATTTGCGTTGCTAATTTCAACACTAGCAACAAAACCCAGACTTGGACCTCAGACTCATCATCATGCAACTCTACCTGGAGCACAATTCTCTTCGAGACTGTGGTGCCGTTTCCCTTCTTTTGATATGATTCTGTGTTTCTGTTTTTTCTTTTTTTTCTTTTTTCTTTTTTAATACTGTTGTTGTAATTAAAGTTGTGTGATGTAGGAGGTTATGGATGATGGAACTGGGATTTTGTTGCATTGCAGCCACCTTTTCTTTAATATTCAGAACGTCACTCTCATCTCCAATGCAGTGAATTATTGTGATCAGATAATAAGTTGATTGTATGTTGTTTTGCTGCATGTATGTATGTATGTATGTATGTATGCATAAAGGCATGAAACCCTAAAGTTAGAATTACAAATTTTCTCACATCTTTTTTATTTTTTTTCTTCAATATTGCAATAACAATACCATCTTTGCTATTATAACTGAGCTCGAATTAAAACCTCATAGTACTATGGTTTTGCTCAATATTTGATGCTTTTGTTGAATTAGTAATAAAAGAACGAAATTCATTACTACAGAAATGCAGTTGCAACAATATGTAAAATCTTAATTTAAGTTAATTTTCAAAAAAGAGTAATTTTTTATGCATAATGGCAATTTAATAATTATTTTTTAGAATAATATTTCTTTTGGTTAAATATAAATTCATCATCATCGTGTGTTTTAATGCTGAATTTTTATATTGGATTTAATTTATGAGCATATGTCATTTAATAAATATTTGAAAATAAATATTTTAGCATTTAAAGAATTTAATACATGAAAAAAATTTGTAAATAAAACTTATTAAATTTTAGAAATTAATATTTCAAATAATATAAAAATATATGAAAACAACTTCGAACATAATTAATAGTCAAATGATTTTGTAAAGATACAAAAGGACTCAAAATCCACAAGAATTAAAAGAATTTAAGAAAAAACTTACCAGAATGAAAAAATGGCATGATTATTATTTCTTATATAAAGAAAATCAAAAAATATATGATAAATAATAAAATTTCAAAAATTTTATTAAAAATACATATCGACAAAAAAAAAAAAAAAAAAAAAAAAAAAAAGGTCAACTTCTCTATGTAACTAAGAGATTATCTTATAAAACCAAAAAATACTTAAAAACTCATAGAAAAAAACACTATGAATAGGCTTTACAAAATCTGTGTAACTAAAAATTATATATATATATATATATATATATGTGTGTGTGTGTGTGTGTGTGTGTGTATTGAACTTTTTAAGTCCATATTTGTTGTAACATGGGAATTATGTTAAAAAATGCTGAGATATAATTTGAATTAAAAATCACATATTTTTTAATACCTCAAGTATTTTAGTTGTACAAAAGAAATCTTTTACATTGGTAATTGATTCTCTATTCATTAATTTTCATTTTGATTTTAATTTCATTGTTTCTAGACAAGAACATTGTAAAATATTATTTTTCTTTTCTTTTATTTTCTTAAAAAAGAAATCAGTATTTCTCTCATTTTCCACAAAATCTTTTTACTTGTCTATCATTATTTTATTTTTATTTTTATTTTTACTTTTCAGTTTAATGGTATTCTATTACCACAAACACTACAATTTTGTTATTCTTGCACATAGATCAACAACATACCAAAAACATAAGTTATTTAACAACAATGCTCAACCATTTAGAAGCATGTCTTGTACCAAACAAACCAAGAATCCAACATCAAGGCTATCTAGATGAGATTCTTACAAATTCAAACTAGTAGAGACTCACTTAAGAACCACTTCAGATAACCATCACCTCACAAGTGAAATTGAAGTAGAAAATTTATGCCAATTCTCTTGTTGAATCTCTCTCTCTCTCTCTCTCTCTCTCTCACCAAACACAAACACATCCTCGTTTTGTGAATAAAATAAAGCCTTAGTTTACACTATTGCAGAATTTGTGTAACTCAAACTTGATATGATATCTGAGCAAGATGTGGTTTGGCCAAAAGGAACAAAGGTGCACAAAAAGATGAAGGGAATGTGTTTATTGTAATCACCAGTTGGATTTTGTGCACTGCTAAATTGCCAATTTGCTTGCTTGCTTGCTTAGTAAAGTATCAAGCATGAAGTATGACACAGCAGTTGTGAGGATCAAATCTCTCAACCCCACCCCCATCAACGCATACTACTGGACCCTTTACCATGAGCAATGATGCATTAACTCACAACACTTACCTCCCCCAGTCCTTTCCCCTTCCTGCTTCTCCAATATCTCTCTCTCTCTCTCTCTATATATATATATATATATATATATATATTGTATATAATGGGTACTGCAGCTTTGGGGAGATTCTCTGCAATTGGCTTGTCTACTATTTGACATGAGTCCCAATCAGCAAGCATGGTAAGGGCAACTCTCCACACATACAAACAAGCCCATACATTCATCCATCCATCCTTCCATCCATCCAAGGGGGAACAGGTTTGAGAGGAGGGGCTACCAATCAAATCTTAGTGTTGTGGATGGTGTGCAGGCAGGCAGGCACACACACACACATCTTGTGCCCATGCCATGTTAGCACCACCACCCCCTTCCATCACTGCTTCCTTCACCCCTTGCCATGCCCAATTTGCTTGCTTGCTTGCTTACCCCACTAAAATCTGATTATGAGGCTTGTGCGCCACATCTTGGATGGCCTACTACTCCAGTAGAAATGGCTGTTGGAAGGGGAGGGGGAAGTTGTTATTCTGTGGTTGTGGAGGATGAAGAGGGAGGGCCATGGAGGCTCTGTCTCTCTCTCTTGTGGCAACTCCACCATTTTGATAACTTGTTTATTTGCTCCCTACTATCCCAACCGTGTGTGTCTACTCATAACACTATATGCACTTGTGTCCAATGTGCAATGTAATGTTCAAAGAAAATTATAGAGAGGGTGGTGAGTGTGTAAGTGAGTTATGTGATAATGGTGTGTTTGTTCTCTTAGGTTGGAGGGCAATATGATGGATTGCTTCTGACAAGGCCTGTGGGTTCAGTGACAGCCTGCATTTATAACCATGTTCCTCAAGGCATTCTGCTACTGGTTGGTTACATTGCCTTATTCCAAATAAGGTCTTGCATGGTTGTCTTGACATGAAATTTCACAGAGTTGGGGGCTCAATCTCTTGATGCAATAAGGGAAATTGTCATCTCATTGCTGGGCCTACACAACAAAAATAATAATTCAAAGAAAAAAAGAAAAAAAGAAAAGACGCTTCTGAGCCACCAACACCTCCTTTTGTTCAGTTGCCCTTTTGTAAAAAAAATTCTCAGTCAAAAATGGTGTTGGTTGTAGCTTGTTTCTGTGAGCTCCATCCACTCAATCATAGAATCATTTTTTAATTTTTTAATTTTATTTGATCTTTACCATGTTGCATCAGAACATGAATGATAATTTCTGCTATGTGCTTTCAATCAGTGCACAATCATAAAAATGAATGAGTAAGAGTTTACTTGTTGATTTGACGTTACTATTCTATTATTAGACAAGTTTCCTCCCAGAGTAACATCACTACATATATATATATATATATATATATCTGTGGCCAAGTTTTCCATGCTTTAATAGGTTTCTTTTCCACGCTTATCAAAACCTTTTAATATAATATATATTTTGGGACTCTAGTGGCAAACTAAGACAAGAATATATCACCGATCAAGCCCCATATGGATCCCTTATTCAGGGGGGGAGACAATGTGGGTTCCTGACACAAATTGGACCATCCGCTGGCTGTAGAAACAGCATAATTCCAACCCTTTCTGACACATGAACCCTTTCGATTAGAGTCACAAGCCTACTTACTAAGCAGGCACAGGCATCACTTTAGTGAAATTAATAACTCATTAAGAAACCACTCAAGGAACTTATGGAACATGAGAGAGCGAGAGAGAGAAAGAGAGCGAAAGTTAAGTCTGATAAATAATGTACCACACGTAGGAAAAATGGAGATAGGCATATACACTGATGTAGTGGGTAATGAACTTATCTACTGAGAGTAGTTGTTGATGCTTTTCTCACCTCCAAACAACAACTCATCATCGCAAGCTCAGAATCCAAAGTCCAAGTTCATACCACGAAGATGTGATCTCACCCACTCAAGAAGAGTTCAGCAGGATGTGAAATCCCAACAGATTACTGCACCATGCGCAACAGGAATTGTGTCTGGTCAATCGCCGATACGGAGCTTCCGAATCACCCAGTTTCTGAGCTACGTAACCACAGTTTTTGTTTTTGTTTTTGTCTTTTTTGTCTTTTTCTTTTCTCCTCCCACCCGTATTCACACAAGAGTTGTTAGAGGGATTGAGTATGGAGAATGGTTCGGCGATTAGTGTGCATCATCCTGCCAGAGAGCAACAGGAAATAAGGGGGAAGTGTTTGCGGTGAGAATTTTTTTTTCTTCTCTTGAACTAGATTATTGTATCCCTCGCGGCGTTGCCTAGTGGAGTAGCGGAGGAGTAGGCCTCTCAAGCAGGGGTGACAATAACTGCCGCGTCTGCATGATGAGGGGCATAGCCAGGGCTAGTGGCGAAGAACGCCCAGCCCCAAGTGACTGCACTTCCCCGCACCCTGCTTGCGTATATAAATACATGCATGTACAGCATAGACACCAAGATCCATCTTCCCAGTTCCCGCTTCGGGAGTTTGCCCTCCATCGCAGCCTAAGAGAGAGAGAGAGAGAGAGAGACGGAGAGACGCGGCGAAACCCTCGCCTGCTAAGAGTGTGTCTTGCTTTCTCTTCGGCTGTGGCCTCATTGACCTGAATTTGTGTCTCACCCACAGCACTTGCAACGTTCTTTTGTTGTTCTTTGACAGCTGAGTACTGATGGTCTGGTGAGTTGAATGGCTTCTAAGCTGTGGGCACACCTCAGTTTGAGTTTCTTTGAGCTGTCGTGGGGTTTCTTTTGAGCTGAGCGACCGGCTTAGTTGTGGTGCTTTAATAGATTCCTAGCGTGCAGTTTTGTGATTCTGTGAGCTGAATTAATGCGGTCGAGAATGACATTGTGAATTGGCTTCTGGCAAATGATCAGTATTTGTGATCCATGAGCTCGCTCTCTCTCTCTCTCTCTCTCTCTCTCTCTCTCTCGCTCGTGCGCGCTGTTTTTGATCAGCATCTATAAATATAAGAATTTTTTCGATTATACGTCTTTTGGTCTAGTGCTTCTGGATTTTAAGAGTTGGTCAGCGAAGACTCGCTTTCTACAGACATGCAGGAAGTCATGATATGTTTGCTTTACCTGCTCAGTTGTTTCAAACGCTTTCATCGGTTGCGATGCCGTGTGTTACGTGAGAAATGAATTGCAAGAAAGTTAGACCTCAAACTATCAAACGATCGAGAACCGATTCTGTCGTTGGATGATAAATTCTGAATCCATGCTCAGTTGTGAATCGAGTTCAGAGCCTTGATTTGCGAACTTGTAATTTGAAACTGTTGCAGATTCCTTGCAAGGTAAACAGAGAGACTGAAGGTGAGAGCCCTCCGAGAAGAATTATGGCGATATTACGAAGAGATGCTGCATTCTTCTGGCTGATTGCTTTTGCCTTGCCTCAGTGCTGGGCTGCGAGGCCACTCGAGGTTTCTGCCAAGAGCGCAGCTCCAATTCTCAGTGACAGGTACTCTAGAGGTCATTTCGATTACGAGATGTGCCCCACGTCCACTCATGACGGTTGCATTCTTTCGGCGGTTCTTTGTAGGAAACTGTTAATTGCGTCGTGGAAATTCCACATTTTAGTTTGTGATATTCATCTCCTTTCGTTGCCACAAACCCAACTCTCATGACTCAAGCTTTTGTCGCAGCGCCCACGTCCAAACCGACAATTTCACACGCCGAGTGCTCGCTGGCTGCGGATCCGGCAACCCCATTGACGACTGCTGGAGATGCGACCCACTTTGGAGGGAAAACCGACAAGGGCTCGCAAATTGCGCAATTGGGTTCGGCAGAAGTGCAGTCGGAGGGAGGAATGGTGAAATCTACGTTGTCACAGACGAGAGTGACGATGATGTGGTCAATCCTGCACCGGGCACACTCCGCTGGGGCGTGGTTCAAAGTGAGCCCCTATGGATTGTGTTCTCCCGCAACATGAACATCAAGCTGAAGGAGGAGCTGCTAATGAACAGCTACAAGACCCTGGATGGACGAGGTGCCAATGTGCACATTGCTGGAGGAGCTTGCATCACTGCCCAGTATGTGAGCAACATCATAATTCACGGCATTCACATCCACGACTGCAAGTCCACCGGCCCTGCGGACATCCGAAGTTCTCCCGACCACTTCGGATACAGGGGCAGGGCGGACGGAGACGCAGTGTCGATCTTTGGGTCCCACGACATCTGGGTGGATCACAATTACCTCTCTAATGGAGCCGATGGCCTGGTGGACGTGATCGAAGGCTCCACGGGCATCACAATCTCCAACAACTACTTCAGCAATCACGACAAGGTGATGCTACTGGGAGCTCACCCAGATGACAGCTTCGACACCGCGATGCTGGTCACGGTTGCGTTCAATCACTTTGGAGAGGGCCTAGTTGAGCGCATTCCGAGGTGAGCTTGCATCTCTACCTCAAATTCTATCTCAATCGCAGCACTGTATGGTTTCAATACCAGTTTGGTGTCGCTCTGTTCAGAAATTACTGGATTGTAATTGAAACATTCTTTGGCATTGTGTAGGTGCCGATACGGGTATTTTCATGTGGTCAACAACTATTACACCAGCTGGGCGATGTATGCCATTGGAGGAAGTGAAAACCCCACCATCAACAGCGAGGGCAACCATTTCGTAGCGGGAAACGCCAAGGAGATCACCAAGCGCATCAACGATGATGGCAGCAAGATTGACGGCTGGGAGAACTGGAACTGGCGAAGCGCAGGGGACTTGTTCGAAAACGGCGCTTTCTTCATTGACTCGGGGTCAAGAGGCTCAGGCAGCTTCTATGCCAAAGCCACCAGCTTCTCTGCTCGACCGGCTGTCCTGGTTGCCAGCATGACCAATGATGCAGGTCCGCTCATGGTATAGAAATCCGATGCTGGAGCGATAATGGCTGAATCAGCCAACCTAAGCTTGATTTTGGGGGAAAGATCAATTTATCCTCACATACATCATTAAGAGAGTTATTACAAAGTTATGGGGTTGTAAAATGGAGAGTGTTCTGCTTCTGGAGACATCAGCGGCCTGATGTGGACCCTTCTCAATGTAACACTAACTGTTTATGCTTGAGGGTGAGATAACGTCAAAACCTCCCGTCGACCTGACACAGAATCTAAGTGTTGGAGTTGAGCTAAACCGTGATTTTGAGATCTATGATTATCGATTACAATCGTGTGTAACAATTGTTCTCGTTCGACGTTATGATGCGCGCTTCTGACAAGCTCGCAGTCGAGGACTTTCTGTTCTGTTAGCTTAGGTACAGATTCGTCGTGAGATTTTTTTTTTTTTTATGATAATGTAGAAACATTCCATTGTACACACATTTTAGATATCAGTTGTCATTTCTAATGGATGTGAGCAGGGTCTCATTTCGATTTACCATCCAGGCTGTTTGCAGGTCCTTCATATTTTGCCGTTGTCCAATGATGTGCGATGGACTCTGTAAGACATGTGAAATTGCTACCCATGAATTTTGCCTGACTACATTATGCTCATCTTTTCATCTACAAGAGCAAGAGCACAGATGTGATGTTTATTTATCCCACTGTGGTTGGTGACAGGTTAGAGTAAGGTCACAGGAAGATTTTCCATCTCATTTTCCTTGCTGTACATTTAGCGCTTATGGTATTGACCTTACTGTGGACATGAGTGCGAGAGTGATTGATGTCTCATTTGGTTACACTGATTGAATACTTCATATTTTGTGGCAGTAGGCATATACAGTTACTTCGCAAGTATTCATCTTGAACTTACTCAAATTTCCTCATTCAGTTCCGTCATGTTGAGTGATCGTTACTAAAATAGCATGTCATTGTGATCGAACATCAAATTTGAGTAAACATGAATTCAATGTTCGCAGTGACGTTTGCACGACATGACGTTCACATTTACCAGATTGGGCTAGATTTCCAATGAACAGATGAATGTAAAGATGACAAGTCCCCTTCAAAGTAATGCTCGATTCCATGGACTTGGCAATCAAGAATTCATTTCAAAGTCGACACTACTTGTTTCATTAAGCATTCTCGTCGAATTGCTTCTCATAATCTCCGGCAATTGCAAGCATCAAAAAGCACAGGGCCCCAAAGACATTATGCGGCATTTGGTACTAATACAGTACATCTCTTTGACGCAACCAAAACCTACAAAAAAGCCTGCAGAAATAGACGCGACTTACCGCGATCCAAATAGTACAGTGACATCGAAAAATTCATTACCCATAGTTCCAAAAAAGACATGTAAATCGTCGTGGAATAGTCATCGGATTCAACGAGTTCCAGTATGGTACACTTGCGAGAGAATGGAGGATTCTAAGAATCTATGACCACCATGGCTGCTCGCCGGTTCTGAAGTCGGTCTCCGTCCAGGGAGAGAACACCACCTTGTCATCAACGACATCGACGTGTGCGAGAGCTAGGGACAGAGGAGCAGGTCCGCGGACAACCTTGCCCTGGTTGTTGTACTGCGAGCCGTGGCAAGGGCACATGAACTTGTTCTCAGCCTTGTTGAATGGCACCACACATCCCAAGTGCGTGCACACGGCGTTCACTCCATACGGTGCCAGAGTGCCATCGTTCTCCACGACGAGGTAAGTAGGGTCACCCTTCAATCCCTGAGCAAGAGTCCTGTCACCTGCAGGGTGAGTTTTCAACCATCCCGAGCTCGTAATGTCGTTACCCAACGCATCCTTCGCGGTCACACCGAGACCACCACCGCCGGAGCTTGGAGGCACGAGGAAGTACAGATACGGACCCAGAAGGCCAGCAGTGGGCAACGAGACAGCGCCAGCGAGCAACAGATTCATCAAGTTACGCTTCCCCATGTCGGGGACGCGCTCGGGCGCCGCGGCCGCAGCTTGCACCTTGACGGCTCCATCCTTCTTCGTCACAGTGTACCCAGGGGCGGGCACCACCACCAGGCAGGGGCTTCCACGCACGCCATTGTTGGCAGCGGCGAGGCTTGATGCCAAGCCACTGGAGAGCGAGGTCGAAGCCGCTGCAGCGGTCGCCATGGCCATAACTAGGCGGCAAATTCAAGGACTGTAGGCGACGGGTGCGACGATACAACCGGAGATGCTCCACTGCAGGGGCCGAATGGTTGCATCTCTTGAACTGGGGGGAAGTGGAGGGATCATAATTCCCTGGCGATGTGGTTCATGTGGTCGCCACACACCCAGTGCCGGATCTCGCAGGAAGAGTGAGAGAGTGGATATGGTTCAGTAGCCACAAACTCCAAGCCCTCCAATGGCGCCTCTCGCCTGGTTGCGCTACTTGTCCGCGACATCTCGGCCTGCCACCTTGGCCGTGTCTTCGCCACAGATTCATTCATTCCGAGTGTGTGCACCCCCCCCCCCCTTCACCTGAAATTGCGAATTAAGTGGCATCGTTTTCACACCGCGATTTGGATCCGCGGCGTTGTGAGGCCGAAGCGGTCAGCAGGATGGATGAATGAATGAATAAAAGTGGATGCATGTCTCTTTTCTTAACGTCATTCATCTGTTTACTGCAGTTCAAATTGTGTTATATTGTTCGCCATGTAATTCAGTTGATTGTCTTTGTGGTCAGATTTTTATTTATATATAAGATATATATAATATATATATACATTTATTTCATATATATATATATATATATATATATATATATTTAGGAATGAGTCTTCTGAGAGATTTTAAATTCTGGTTTTCATATTTTTGGGATGTAATTGGTGGCAGAGAGTATCGTATTATGTTTGGGATATTCTAGTTTATTTTTCATATATGCACAGAATAGATTCAAAATAGTAGTAGAAATGATTGAATTAGATTCTAAGTCTATCAATAATTATTCTTTTGAAATATGTATATATATATATATATATATATATAATCCAAGGAGGTACATTTTTTTAGAAAGGAAATTAACTCTTGATTGGTGAAAATTAAAGAGTGTAAATTAATTTTCACTAGATTTTCTCAAGTTCCATTTTCTTAAATCTAATGAAACACTGCTTAAGATTACAAAAAAAAAATACCATAGATATAATCTTTTAAAAACACAATATTACGTAATAAAATATTGAAACTATTAGAAATATAAAACTCAATTTTTGAAGTCAATACTAATAAACAAAATTATGTGGCACATTTGAGACTTGTTGATCTAGCCGGAATTATAATGTTGTGAAAAACATGTGTGTGCACCAAATTACAGATCATAATTTTGACATGTATATGAAACCTCATGTTGTATCTTCCAAAAATAACATTTTTCTTTTCATGTATTATTGAGCTTTTCTACATTAAAAACAACAAGAAATAAAAATCACAACACATTTGTGCCAAAGATTATGATTCCATAATATGGCGTATTGTAAAATTTAAAAAAGAATTAGTGACCAAAAGAATTTTAAGGCCATAATGCCACCTTCCATGTTCTACAAAACAAAAAATTAATCTGATCATTCATTTTGAAAAAAAAAACATGCACATGTTTTCAAGCATGAACAATGCAAAACTGATGCATCAGTAATATTATTTGCATAATATGAATGTTTAAAACCGTATTAAACAAGAACATATTTTGTGTGAGAAATTGATGAATGACTGTTGTAATATTTTAACTACTTGCAATGAAAGTGATTAAAATCTTGACATTGATTCATTAAATTGGTTAGTCTTATACACAATATCAATCAAAAGTGGTTTGGAATTTCTTTTTCAAATATTACAAAATTCAAGCTGATGTATCATTCATAGGTAATAAGCTTGTGAACAAAAACAGTACCTGAATATTAAAATTAATTTTATGCTTATATATTATTTTTTAAAATACTTATAAAAATCATAAAAACTTTGAACTAAGTAAAAAATTCAAAATATCTACAATAGTTGGCTTGAAGTTTCAATAAAAATTGTCAATTTCATGACATGAAGAAGCTTATTTTACATGCATTCTACAGAGTGGTTATTGAAACTGCCTGTGAAAATCTGTCAAAGTTATGTTTTATAAAAATCATTATCTTTGAATGATTGAAATGGTTTTCAAGATGGTTTTTTTTTTTAAAGATTTGTTCTTGATATGTTCGCTGAAAGTTTAAAAGGGTAATATTAAATATGTTCAATCATATAAATAACTATCGTTGTAAACAAGAAGGATTTAAACAACACAACTGCGAAAAATATTATTGGTAATAATATTGATGGCGGTTGAATATACGATGTCATTAAAGAAATTAGCAAAACAAATTTTAATAATTGTAAACACAACACAATGAGAATCAAAAATATGTGTTGTAATAAAAGATTTGTCATAATGGATGTCATTAAATCATAGTTATTAGCAAGAGATAACAATGTGATAAGGATTATCATAAAAGAAGTTTTCAAAATGAATGTTATAAAAAAATAGAATATAATATCAATCTCCTCATTTGTTGCACTTCTTGAAAGGTAAGTTTTATTATATCCATTATCAATTTTGAATCTTTTGGAAAATAACCAAGATTATGTCTTTGTTGATTTTGCGATAAATTTTTAAAATTATTTTAAAATTATGATTTTCATCAAATCAAACATGATAATCTTCATGATCTTGAATAATAGGATATTAAATTGATACTTAATTTTCAGAACACCATACTTGACAATTTTTCATTTCAAATTGTGTTCCTGTAATTCTGTAAAAAATACCCGAAGTAAAATTGATCTAATCATTTTTTATATTGAAAATTCTTTAACACAGGAACAGAATTACAATTTTTATTCTCTTGCATTAGTCTATGCTGGTGATCATTTAATTGTTTTACTCTTGCCATTGAAGCTATGTCTTTTAATAGTATAACTGTTTGGATTTATTTACCCTTTTATTTATCTGTTTCCCTGTAAAGTCATGGATGAGAATAGAAAAATGTATTTGTTCACATTAAGATACTTGTAGACAATTAAATTTTGGAAATTGAATTTTAATACTTATTAGATAAAGAAATGATTTATTTATTTTTTAAATTTTATTTTTCAATGTTTGAAAATCACATACCAATAATACACATTCAATACTAATTCATCCTTGCACCTTCAACAAAACACCATAAATTAAAAACTACCTGAATCTTTCTGTAAAAGCTAAACAGTGCTCCAAGCATAAAAGCTACCATTTCACAAATCTAATAAAGATGTAATGATTTTTACTGCATGATAATATTATAAGCTGAGTTTTAAATTAAGATCTAAAAACTTCACGTCTAGAAATTAATGCAAATTCTTTTCTCAGAAGTTTCATTAACATTTTTAATCTGGTAATTCATACCTAAATAAGCAAGATCAAAATGATAGCAAACATGCATCCATATACATATATGCATACACATAGATAATTTAACAGTATACAATGAAAAATTTACAACATGCATGTATATGTAAAGATGAAAGTATATATATATATATATATACTTTCATATATGGTGTAACACTGTATATGAAATACAATAATATATATATATATATATATATATATATATATATAACACCACCATGATGTAAGATTTAAGAAAATTTCAAAAATAAAACTTTTACTAGAAGTGGCAAAGTAAATGTTCTCTATTGAAAGGCATTAAATTTGTTTCTTGAATCAATATTAGGTATGAAAATAAAACAATTAAAAAATATTTGCAAAAATTAAATTAATTAAAAATCTAACACATGTTATTCTTTAATTTAAAAAAGTTGAAGTGATTCCAAGCACACAAAATTTGATTGTGCCTCAAAATATGAACAGTGGCCATTGTTTTTTTTAATAAACACCACAATCATAAGAATATTTTATTATAGGTGATGACACAAACTATAGATCAAATTTTGAACCTCCCATTCTGTCTTAATGGGCAATGTGGCCAAATATGGATTAACCTTTTGGAACCACCAACCAGTCTACTTCATGTCAAACAAGATTTCAGTCCAATAACTTGTATTTTGTTTTAATTTTACTTACTTTTAAAATAATTGAATTTTAGAGCAGCGCAAAACCAACTCAGGAAAACAAGCAAGGAAATCAAGTCATATTTGAGGAACAATACCATAGTGTTAAGGTCAGAGCAGAACCAAGCAACAAAAGTGGGGTTTGTTGAGTTTTATTTTTATTTTTTATTTTTTTATGGGTGGATTCAGTCAACCTGAATCAAACTCACAAATACTATTTCCTACACTATATTCTCAACTTCGCTTTAGATGTATCATTCTGCCGTCATTGCAGGCCATTCAACAACAATAAAGAAGAGTCAATTAACGACAAAAACCAAAGCATAATCCAACAGTGAATGGAGTGAGGGCCAACCAGTAAATTTATTTATAACAGGATTGAGCAAATTAATGCAAGCTTCATCGATTAATACTGCAGCATACGATTCTTTCAAACAAAATGTTTTAATTTATCAACACAACGTGTTGTTTCTGTGGTACATGAAGCCGCAAGCATCACATGAACTGGGTAACTACAGCATGAATCTATTTTCCTTTGAAGGTTGGCAAAAACTCAAACTGCAGTCACCGTTTGTGGGTCACAATCTCTTCCTTCCTCAAACCCTAAATCCTAAACCCTAAACCTACTTTTTTCCATAAGCTGTCTCTTATGTACACTTTCTTGGGATTTGCATCTGTAATCTGGGTCCCGCTTTCATCATCCAGAATATTTACTGCCGGGGAATCCGTTTTATTACGCGCTGCCGTAAAAAATGGAATCAGTCAATGGATTTATTTAACAAATATTTCTGAATAGTTTTGATCATTTTTGTAAAGTTTAGGGAGTAAACCCTACATTTGGACATACTTCCGAGCGGCTGAAGGATTTCCGTCGCTAAGCGCAACAACACTTCAAACTGATTTCGCGAATCGCAGATTCGCGAGCGGGCGAGAAATGTTTCGCCGCTGCCAAATGGGTAAACCATCATCTCTCGGCTTCGGGGCTGAATTCGCAGGCGCAGCCGGCAGAGACGTGGTCCTTGAGAGATTAGCAGGAGCGTGGTGCCCGGACGAATCCTCAAGCCTGTGGAGATGCAACCTCGTGAGAGGATATGAGTGAAGCACTGTAGCCCCCACCCCCACCCCGAGCTCGTCGTAATCGTTAACCATTGTGCAGAGAGACCCTTTCTCGCTGTCGTAAAAGTTTTTCTCATAACTCTCAGCGTCGTAGTTTGTTAAGATTTCATGCGATCGCCCCGGATGCACGCGGCGCTTAGCCTCAGCTCTAAACTTCCTCAGAGCCTGCTTCCATGCTGCAGGCTTCGCAGAATGGTCCTGTTTGTCTTCTATTACCCGTCGACTACCGGGTTGCACCACCCGATTCTTCTCCGTCGCCGATTTGTAGTTAAGCTTCGGTGATTGAGTCTCCAGGTTGCATGATGAATCCTCTTCATTTTTACCCGTAAACCTCCTGCTTCCGAGATTCAAATTTCCTAGGAAGGATGTGGACAGTGACCTGGACCTGGATCGCTGCAGGCGGTTGGTTGTTGTCCGCTCAGCAACTCCGGTGTCTGCATCCAATAGAAACGAACGCGCAGGGCCGAGCTCAGAATCTTTCGCTTTACGCGGACCAAAGCAGGCAGTGAAATACTCCCCAGAATTGATTCGAATCAACGATTTCGGCTTGAAGGCGGGGGGGATGTCACGACCAAAACCTGACACGTGAGAGGAGATGGAGCGGTCCGCCGCAGCAGGAGGCTCGTCGGCACGGTTCACGAGCATACATCCCAACGTATCTACCGAGCTATAGCGTCTGTGTCCGATCGTCATGCTCCCCGACGTAATCAGCTCTCAAGCACACAGCACCAACTCTCCACGCCTGCAAATCGCACAACCCTGGACTAGACGAGTCCCTAAAATCACTGCCAACCGCAACACTGTGGGAACTAATACTCCGCGACGAGCACTCTGAAGTGGCAGCAAGAGAGAGAGAGAGAGAGAAGACCAAAGTGAGAACCACAACTGAGGTTTTCGAAGGTTGGCGGAGGAATTTGAAGCATCATCATCATCATCATGGAATCAGTCGGCGGCGACGCGCCGTGCGAGGAATAGGCAGTAAGGAAGGGGAAAGGAATTGGGGGATAGGAATTGATGCAGCGCCACCAAGCATGACTGACTCACCGACCACAGGGAGAGGGTTGACTGACTGACTGACTGATTGACTGATGGATTACCTGGTTTCCCACAACGCGTTGCAAGCGAGTCGGCAACGGCGCTTCCACCTCGTGGATTCCATCCCCGACCATCCATCCTCTCTACCACGAAGACATTGCCGCATAGGACCCCCCCCGTGCTCACCACTGCGACCCTGCTTGCTTGCCTTTTTCTACTTTTTCGCTTAGCCATGCCCGCTTCTGCCCGTCCACAGACGCTCGTTCATCCAAACCCACTTTCGTCCCCCGTCCGTCCACTTGACTTCCGTCTCACGTTCACGAATGCCCTTTCATCGATTCTTTTTATCATCTCGAGTCTTTGGTTGTTTGTTCCTCTACTTTCGTCCAGCGACGCCCGTTCGTCCACGCCGTTTCCATACAGCGTCCAAGGGTGTTCGTTCGTCTTCTCCTTTTCCGTCTCGCGTCCGTCGAAGGACGTTCGTTCGTCTACGGTGCCACATTTCAACGTCGCTCAGTTCCGTCCGTCCCCATGGATCGTCTGTGTGAAATATTTCATGTGGAAGACAAATAATGGAGAATTGAACACGACATGAAATTAATGTTTAAGTCATGTCTTATTAGTGGTCAAAGCATTGTATTGAAAGTGTGTAGAAAAATGTTACAATACTTGAAGAGGCTCTAATAGAATTTCCAAACAAATCCTAGAAAGGTCTTCATGAAGTACATTTCTTTTCAGGGAGAATTCATGATACATCCTCAATTTAATTTAGTAGTCTATAAATGATTATAAAAGTTTCACCAATTGGTAGATTAAATATACCAAATGATTTACATTTGATCAAAAACCAATAATTGAGGATATTTGATGTTACTAATTATAGGTGAAAAAGTCTTTAACTTTATACATTCATCCATCCAAATGAAGTTCTTTTAAATTAGACAAATTACATATAGATGTGGGATTTTTATTTATTATTATTATTATTATTTTATTTTATTTCAATGCAATTATATATCTTCATTTCTTATTCAATCCAATTCACTAATTGTTGGCAAAAGTCTATCTAATGACAAATTTTCTTTCAAATGCAATATATGAAGACATTTGAGGTTATCAATTGTATCTAGCACAGTCTTCAATTTTGTACATCCATCTAAATGAAAGCTTCTTTAAATTAGATAAATCTTCTATTGATATAGGATTTTCTTCCATTTGAATGTACCATTGCATCATAATTTATCAGTCATTCATATTCATTGTTTAATAGTGGGAATGTCACCTCCCCAAAGTGTGGGGTAAGGGGCGACTCACGTAAAGGGAATCACTACAAGGTAGTGATTGTGAGTAAAGCCCATAAAGAAGAACAAGTCCCCTAGGTGACGTAGAACGGCACTTGGGAATGATGACTTGGAGAGGTCGCATGAGCTTAAGGCACATGAAGACTCCCTTGGCCCCGCCATGACGTAAGGATGCCACGAGACGCTTGGGTTGGCTCCAAGTGCGGAAGAAGGTGTTGGCTAGAGCGCAAAGGCGCTCTCGGGTGATTAACATTAGGAGGAGGTAAAATTGAAGTCTCTCTCACCAAGAAGTAACTTTGGTCTCGGGTGTGGATGGATAGATGCCGGTGATGGGGACCAAGAGGCCAAGAAAGGCATAGGATCATCTGACCCAGCTACTAAGCGAAGGTGAGTGGAAAGCTACTAACCTAGAGGGGTGGTTGGGTACAGGTGACGAAATACTCAAGACTTAAATGAAGTTTTTGAGTATTACATTAGTATCAGAGCGAGACTAGTCAGCAAGGCATGAGTAGATCAAATAATTATGGCAACGAGATCTTAAGACTCGAACCATGGCTAGAGGAAAGAAAATGATGGCTCAGTCTTCACAAAAGCAAGGTGAAGATGTGAATGAGGAAGAGTTCCTAATGTAAGAGGACTTGGCAAAGAGCCAAGATGCTCCTCCTAAGAAGGCCATCAAAAGGAAGAATCCTTCCAAGAGAGATGCTGGGTCCTCAAGTGGGAGAGTCAGTATTATGGAAGGAGAAGTGGGTGCTCAAGGTAGCGACGTCCAGAATGAAGAGATCTAAAGAGATTTGAGTAACCCGAGTAGAGATGCTGAAGAAGTATAACGTGAAGAGGGTTTTCAAAAGTTAAGCTCATCCTCTTCAAGTAGAGAAAGTGAAGCCACAGAACTGGAAGAGAGTGAAAGAAGAAACCTAAGCAAGAGCAAGGAGCCTTCAAAAAAGAAACAAGATAGCTTTCCAAGATAAGAGCGAGTCAATCAAGTCCGAAGTCTAAGAGCAAACATGAATGTTATGTTGTCCTTCATTAAACTTATAAATTTAATAAGGTCAGAAGTAGCAAGAGACATGGAGCACTGGATGGAAGGAAAGGAGGTTAAAAAGGGTACTTTATCTAAGGTTTTCGTTTCCAAGAAATAGAGTGATGTAGAGATAAAGAGATCCATGAAAAAATTCCTCGAAGAAGTGGAAGTGTGGTTTGAAGCCATAGACATCTAAGTGGCAAAGATAGTTAAAACCTTGGCCACCCTGCTTGAAAGCAGCACCTTATAGTGGTACTTAGTAGAGAAGATTAAGACACCAGACAGATTGGAGAAGACATGGGAGGAAGTAAAAGAAATATTTTTGGCACGTTTTGTGCCAAGGCACCAATATTTTTTAGATGAAATCACCATGGTCTACTTGAAACTGAGTGTAGAAAAATGTTCCCTCAAAAGTTATGCCGAAGAGTTTCAAGCCAAAATGGTGTCTTGCAAAAGAATGAATGAGTATGTAAAGTTAGTGTATTTCTATACAGGTTTTGAAGAAGCCACTAGGCACAAATACTTTGAAAGAGAGTCGATTCCTGAGACCTTGGGAAAAGCTTTGGCCTTGGCTGATCAACTCATAGTGGAGAGCTCCTCGAGTAGAGTTAGATACGAGAGTTGCAAGATAAAGGGTTCCTAGCCAAATAAGCACAAACAAGGTAAGGACAAAAACTTCAAAAGGAAGTTTGAGTCAGACACTCACAAGGCTCAGAGAGACCAAGCAAGGAAAAAAAGTCCTGCCATGATAATCACATTTGCTATAGGTGCCAGCAAAGTGGTCACATGGCTAAGGATTGTACTAGCAATCCCAAAACTAAGTCATTCAAGGACAAGAAGGTACTTCATTTGTTAACAGAAAGTAAATCTTTAAGCCCTGTTTTACCTATTTTTCCGAAGGTCAAAGTGGGAGAGCAAGAAAAGCAATCATTGTTGGAAGGACGGACTAAGGTGATGAAAAACCTTCACCTTTTATCCTTGGTACTCAAAAGTGGCTTTAAGGCTGAATTGAATGTTTTAAGTCATCACATAGGATTAGTTTATTTTAAAGGAAAATTTAATGGAATTAACATTTCTCTTTTGCTTGATTCAGGATCCACCAACTTGTTCGTAAGCATTAGATGTGTCAAACGCATGAAGTTGAAGGTGGAAAAAACTAAGGAGCCCGTCAAAGTAATGTTTACACAAAGAAGTAGCTAGACTACACAAGTAGTAGTAGGGTTGAGTTTTGATGTAGGCAACACCAAGTTCACTGAGGATTTTACAATGTACGATCTTAGTGGTGTGGATTTTGTGTTAGGCAATACCTTTCTTGACTCTTATGGAGTTGAGATTAGAAGGAGACCTAGACTAGAAGTGGTGATGGTAAAAATAAAAGAAAAGCCTAAAGTCCTCAACCATACCCATGAGCCTAGTTTAGATGGCCTTGAAATTCAATTAGTGAGCCAGAGGCAACTAACTGATATCACATTTTTTTTGTTGGCTCAAGATTGTGCAATAAACAATGTGAATGTTCAAAAAAATCTTAAGTGTCTACGTCAAAGCATCTTGAATGTGTTGAACAAGTTTAAAGACGTGGTCACTAATATACTACCAAGTGACCTACCTCCAAAAAAGAGGGTGGATCACAAGATAGACTTGGTGTCGGGTATAATCCCGCCTAATAAGGCCTCATGTAGACTGAATCAGAAAGAGCTAGAAGAGTTGAAAAGGCAACTAATTGAGTTGTTAACTAGGGGTTACATTAGATCAAGCAAGTTGCCATTTGGAGCCTCAGTCCTATTTGTAAGTAAAAACCATGGGAAACTCCGAATGTGTGTAGACTACAGGGCACTCAATAAGATCACTATAAAGAACTACTATCCGCTACCGAGGGCAGACGACATCATGGATAGGTTAGCCAGCTTTAAGTTCTTCACGAGGATAGATTTGAAATACGGCTACTACCAGATTCGAGTAGCTGAAGAAGATGTTGAGAAGAACGCATGTAGAACAAAGTATGGATCATACGAGTTCGTGGTAATGCCATTTGGGTTATGCAATACCTTGGCTATCTTCACCACTATGATGAACTCGATTTTCTATCAAGAAACTGACGAGTTTGTGATCATCTATATTGATGATATTTTCATATATTTAAAGTTAGAACATGAGCATGTTAAGCATGTTGAAGCAGTGCTTCAAAAGTTAAGGGACAACAAACTCTATGCCAATGCAGAAAAATGCGAGTTTACACTTCAAGAGATTGAATTCCTTGGTCACATTTGTAATAACAAAGAGATCAAAGCCGATCCCAAGAAATTAAGAGCAATCAGAGAGTGGGAAGCACCACTAACTCAAAGGGAGGTTAGAGCCTTTTTGGGCTTGGCAAACTATTATAAAAAATTCATAAAAAGATTCTCTAAGATTGCAAGACCTCTCTCGGATTTGCTAACCAAGGACAACAAGAAATTTCAATGGAGTGTCAAATGCCAAGAAGCATTTGATATACTCAAGTAAGCCTTAACTAGTTCTGGAGCCCTAAGGTACCTTGACTTTAATAAGGACTTTGAAGTGCACACGAACGATAGTGGTTTTGCAGTTGGGGGAGTGTTCATGGAAGAGGGAAGGA